ACAACCAAATAACGTGGAAGAATCACAAGGATCTGAGAGATGGGTGAACCCTAAGAGCTCTGCTGGTATTCCAAAAGATGCTGGCAGGAGAAGGGTGCAGGCAGTTGGCAGCAAATCTGCAGGTCATTGGTACACAAATGGAGATGGAAGGAAAGTAAGTGGATATTCATTTTAATATTTGGAATTTTGGAGCAGGTCATTGATGTACTTGTTGAAGTTCTTTTGGTTAAAGTTTGTACTAGTTAGTTTGTCATACTTGATGCCTCTAAACCATAGTTGGGATATGGATGTCAGTGGGTAAATGACTAAAGTTATTCCATTTCTCCATAACTTGGATACTCATTAGACATTTGTGTTCAGTCTGTATAGCTTCATGGAGTCTCCTTGTTCTTTTAGAATCAATTCATGACATTCATGGAATCTCTTTGGTGTTATTTTATTCATGACATCCTATCTTCTGTACATTAATCAAAGAGTTGATCTACTGTTTTTTATCAGGTTTATGTTGCCAACAATGGACAAGAGTTTTCTGGCCAAAGTGCATATAGATGTTACAGAAAGGTACAATTTTTCTATTTTCTTCATTGCTTTAGTCAATAATGGACGTACACCTGAACTCATTGTTCTCTTTGTCTTTCTTCAATGCTATATTAGAAATGGATGATTGGATGTGTACACTTAACAGTTGACTCTTTGTTCTCTTTCTGCCTCGATATATTGTCATTGATAAAGTTTTGATACTTCTAAATATATACACAATCATCTAATGAATGCATATCCTGTATTTTCGCCCTTTTACAGGAGAGTGGAGCGTATAATAAATCAACAAAGAAGACTGCTGGTCGCAAAAGGAAGGCAGCTTCAAAGAAGAAATAGAACCTCTGTAGAAATGAATATGTGATGTGTGTACTTGGCATGCTCATGTTAATATGTTCTGGAAAAGAAATTTTGTATCAACCAAGTATTGTATACTAGTAATTTGGTTTTCTATGATGAACAAATAATAGAAAAAAACTCTATTCTTGATGTTTGTATCAACATCTGCTCTATTCTTTACTACGTTGGAAGTATAACGAGGATGTAAATAACAATGTTTGTACTTGGGAGGACTAATCAATGGTGGAGCTTGGTCGAAAATCTGGCAGGGTAGTTAGAATTCTGCTAGGAAGCTAGCTGCCGGACTATGGAGGCTTCAGTTGCCGGAAGTTTCTAATATTCCAGTTCAAAAGTTACCTCACACAGTTCATTTAAGAAAAGACAATTGGCTATTATGAAGATGGAAAATCAGCTATGGTACTGAGGGCAGGGTGGCTAGTAAAGCATATGGAAAAAAAAAATTAATAGTGATTTTTATGATTTTAATTTCATTTGAAATAATGAATATTATAAAAAAAAAAATGAAAAAAGATAGTTTTTTTATCAAAAATATTTTAGAACTTTAAATTAAACAATTCAAATTTCATATTAATAAATAAAGTTTTTATATTAGCATCCAACTTGATGAATTGCAAATAAATGTCTGACACTAGAACTAATACTTACTTTTATAAATAGTAGTATTATTATGTGAAGGTAAACACTAAATAGAATTGTTGTGAAAAATACCTTTATAGCAAATAGAGGTATTTGGGTTTTCAGCTCAGGCTAATGAAGTTGAAAAAGAAAAGAAATTAGACTTTTAAAAAGCAAACGGATCTAAATTGTAAAATTACTACAAAAGTAACTAATGAAGTTGAAAAAAGAAAAGAAATTAGACTTTTAAAAAGTAAACGGATCTAAATTGTAAAATTACTAAAAAAGTAACTAGTTGAATTTGAAAAGAAAAAACCAAGAAGAGAATAAAGAAATGAATAACAACTAAATCCTTTTAGAGACTACATTTCTTGTCTCAAATACGCCATAGATATCTTGGGAAAGTTTTATTTTCAGGTCGTGAAAACTCTTTAGCGACCATCAACAACTGGTCCTAGTAATTAATCTTTAGCGATTATTAAAGACTTGATCTAATAATAGCTTTAAAGACGAGCATCATTTCTAGTCCTAGATTGTCTATTAGAGAAGAGCAACAAGTCTGGTCCTAGATTAACCTGACTAGCAATACTTTTGGTCTTAGATTAACCATCAATGCATATCTCAAATATCAAATTGCAACTTAAAATCTCGATTCAAAACGATGATAGATATAGAGACGAAACAAACACAAGAAGGTAGAGATAAAGAGTGTGACTTATTAATTGGTTCACATCCCATGCTATAGTATAAGAAAATGGATATTTAAGGACCAAAATATAGAGACGAGTTAGTAAACTAAGCCTTGAAAGTATACAATAAGGACAAGTTTTTTTACTGGTCCTTAATTCTTAATTAATTAGCGAAGGGTACAAATTCCCCTCCCTAAATAATAGATATCTGGTCCTAAATATCAACAACATATTTTCTCTTCTCTCAAAACCTAATCTACATGCTTATCCTTCTCTATACCACTTAAAAACTCCACTTATGAATGAGATTTGTAGGTATTCTATTTTAGACAAGGTGTGCATCGATCAGTTCGATTCGATTCATGTATAATCGGTTTAATTTATCGATTTTCAATTATTAAATATGCTAAATTAATATTTTTAATCGTTAACGGTTCAATTTTTTATTTATCCACTAAAAAAATATTCATAAAATAAATTGACAGATTGTTAATCTACTCAGTATAGTTAGATCTTGTTCTTTTTTTATTTTATATAATTGATGGAAAAGGGTTAGAATGGGAACATGCACACAATAAGCCAAAAATGAGTGCACGTGCTTATTCCCTCGGATACCCTGAGAACTAATACACAATCAATCTTTGCAAGTGCACTCACTTTCACCGACCTTAATGCCCTTCATTACTTCTCTTTTTAATTTATGCGATATTATTTAACTTCATATAATTTAATAATAATAATAATTTTAAAATTTGTAAGTTAAAACAAATTTTAAATATTTATATAGTTATAAATTATTATATTAGGGATAAGCAAAATAAATTAGTTTTTTTCAAAATAATTCACTATCTTCGAGTTAAGGCTTAAAAACATTCTTATTTTTTCACATGAAGTATTAATAGTTGGTTTATTTTTTATTTTCTCCCAAACTTCTGTTTATAGTTTGACGTTTGTTTTATTCACTATTTAGTATATGTAATGTTCAGTTATCTTCCTCTATGTTTAATATACACGATAATTCCATATAAGAAAAAGTGAGAAGAGGAGTACTCCTTATTTAGTACACCCCAAAAATATCATTATACTTATAAATAAATAAATCAAGAATTATCTTTTTATAAATGCGTCCTAACAAATCATATGCAATTGCGGGTAAATTGCAATATTATCTAATAGTATTAACTTGTTTCCAATAAGAGAAATATGCTATTTTAGATAGAGAAAAAAAAAGTGTGTCACATTTATTTAAGTAAAAAAATTACTTTAATAGTTGGATAAGAGACTAGTCAATACTTATCTTTTACAAAATTATGCAAATCTCACTTTTAAAAATAATAATAATTCCATGTAATGTTCAATATTTTCATAGAGGTCCTAATTAATTTGAATTGACATCATATAAGACCTAAAAGGAAACTAGGAAAGGATTTTCTATTAATGTTTTTTTCCTTTATAAATTAAGCTCAAATTCTAGATTCTAATTAATAGCGAGAAATTATATTCATTTCATCATAACTCTCGATGGTTAGCTGAATTTGCTAGAAGATAATTTTATTCAATGAAATAAGTGTTTGTTATCTAATTTCTTATGTCTAATAGACTTTCTTTCTACATTATTGACAATATTTCTTTTATATCCACTAATGTGTCATACATATCTTTTTAGTATGATTAAAAAAAAATTACATCATATATTTAAAAATAAATCAATTTTAAAATTTGCACCCTTAAAGATATATTTATAATTATATAAAAATTTATGAATTGTTTTAAACTATACGTTACAGCCCAATCAAATGATACTATAATTATCAAAACGGAGAAAGTATATGATAATTTTCACTTTTTTAACTTAATATTAATTTAGCTAAAACTCAAGCAAGATATATATTCACCAAATTAGAGTCATCTCATTATTTTATTTTATTTTATTAATTAATTAATTAGCATAAAATAGAAAAAGAAAATTGCAGGACAAAGTCATTACAACGCTCCCGCTAGGAGAGGTACGTGGGACCCATATGCCTAACGGCAGCCTGCCACTCCTATTTAACTATTTTTAACTGCTCCTTCTATAGTTAACAACCAAACTACGTCGTTTGGATGCAAAACTTTACAATACGACATCGTAATAGTATACTCCTAATCCTATCTCGAGACAAATCCAGGATTTAAATATGTCATAATAACTAAGTTCACGAGCAAATAATTACAGATATAATAAACAACAACAACATAATCTTATGAAATTCAACAAATAGAGTCTGAGAAGGCAGAGCGTACACAAACTTTATCTCTATTTCGTAACGGTAAAACGATTGTTTGATGATCGAATATTTCAGAGGTATCGTGTCTGGTGAACCAATAGGTTTTCTTTTAAGCTTCGCCTCTCATTTTATCAAATTTTTAGTTTCTTATCCGGCCATCGTATTCAAATTCAGATTCAAGTAAATTCAAATTTACTTCGCAGACAATGATTCAATTGATTGTGAAGAAAGAGAATTCTTGATTCAGTCCTCCACCTTAATAATAGAAAATAAGATTGAATTTATCTACTAAAATAAAACATTTCTTTTTAAACACAATTTTATTTCTTAATAAAAAATTAAAGAGTACTTACGATTTCATCACGATGTACTCTTAATGACAATAGAAGATTTTTGGTATAAATGAGAGACGTTGACCATACAAATCATCTTTACTTATACAGAGTTATACGTATAAATCTCCTCTCTCTCACACACATATATACACAGAAAACACTTGCATTTCTCTCTTCTCTCTCCTCAAAAACCAAAGGAGATCACAGACACCCCCACCCCACTCCCTCCCCCGTACCCCCCATCCCTATCCCCCTACGCCCTTGTACCAGCTCTGAAAGTCTCGGTGAAGCAATAAGCCAAAAAAACTGAGTAATGGCTGAATCTGTGCATCAAAGATGAAGGTCACTGCAAACAATAGAGCTGAGCTTCCAGCAATTGCATCATTCAAACTAGTGAACCCTTTACCCGATTCAGATCTTTTACAAAACCCCTTTTGCTCTAGGAAACCGCCTCGCCGGAAAATCAAGAACTCCGGTGGCGCCGGAGTGAGGTTACGGAGAGATATTCCCGGTGGGAAAAGGAGCAGACCTAATACCCCTTTACTACGATGGAAGTATAACGAGGATGTAAATGACAATGCTTGTACTTGGGAGGACAAATCGACGGTGGAGCTTGGTCGGAAATCTGGCCGGAAAGTTAGAAATTTGGTTTCTGCTAGGAAGTTAGCTGCCGGACTATGGAGGCTTCAGTTGCCGGAAGTTCCTAATATTCCAGCTCAAAAGTTACCTCAGGTAGCTCATTTAAGAAAAAAGATTGCAGCTTTAGGGTTTTTCTAATTTTGGTCATTTATATATTGATTGTAATTAATTGCTTTAATTACATTGACTTAGCATTTGCTTGAATGAGTCGAGGGTCTATCGGAAACAACCTCTTTGTCTGAGTTAGGGGTAATGTTTGCGTACACTCTACCCTGTCCAGACCGTACTTTGTGGGACTAGACTTGCTATGTTGTTGTTATAATTAGCAATTATGAATGTATGATTTATTAGGATTGAAGTTGAGATTGTTTTCTCTGGTACCTTTGGTATAATTGTGATTTATGATTGCCTGCATTACTGCTTGCTTTATGTTTTATTTTTATTTTCATCTGTTGGTAGTTTTATTAGTCCCTGCTGTTTTAGGATCATAATCATCTCCAAGTTTGTATTTTTATGACCTTAGAGTGAACGGCGACTTTGATAAGTGTTTTATCATTCTAGACCTGATTGCTCGGACTGTTAAAAAATGTTGTTGGGGGTGTGTCAGATCCTCCAAAAGTAGTACATTTTTGTTGGATCCAACATGGTTATGGTAGCTTTAAGCAACTTTTTCAATTTCATTTTCCTTTCCTTCGTGCAGGCTGGTCATATTGATCTACCCTTTTTCAACCATCATCATATTAAAGAGAATGATTCTCACGTGCAGGCTGGTCATATTGATCTACCCTTTTTCGACCATCATCATATTAAAGAGAATGATTCTCACATTGATGATTCAGTGCAGAGTCCACGATCTGTCTCCGGTCCAAGATATGGTCTTTATCACAAGGTATGTTTGATGCCTTTTCAGTTTTTTGTCAATGTTGTCTATGCTGTCTAAGGTCCTTTAGGTAAGTCCTAAAGTTATGTTGAATAGTCCAAAGCAATGTGATAGGCGCAGGGGAGAAATCCTGGAGTTATCGGGAGTTGATGAATGCTTCAATATTTTCTTTGAGTATTAGAGACCCAATGTGGTTGGGCCCTTCCCTCGACCTTCGCATAGCTGGAAGCTTAGTGCACTGTGCTGCACTTTTCTATCAGATACTTTTGGTCTAGGTTCTTAGTTTATCATGTTACGTTTTCGCCATTGCTCATCTTGTTGTTTCCACATTTTCTGATCTTACAAAGGAGTTACTTCTATATTCTGTAGCTAGAGCCCTCATTTCAATATCCAAACTCTGCTATGGAGGGGGCAACAAAGTGGGATCCAGTTGGCTGGACAATAGCTGAGGAAATAAAGGAGATTTACGGCCATCAGAAGGTTCCTAATAAACAGTCGAAGACTGCTGCAATGATTTCCACCCTTGAGGCAGAATTAGAGCAGGCTCGCACCCGAATTCATCAACTTGAGATGGAGCGACGGTCTTCAAAAAAGAAACTCGAACTGTTTTTGAGAAAACTTAGTGAAGAGAAAGCAGCCTGGAGAAGCCGAGAACACGAGAAAATTCGTGCAATTATAGATGATATGAAAGCCGACTTGTCCAGAGAGAAGAGAAACCGACAGAGGCTGGAAACAGTCAACTCCAAGTTAGTTAATGAATTGGCTGATGCCAAGTTATCAGCAAAGCGCTATTTTCAAGATTACGAAAAAGAAAGGAAGGGTAGAGAGTTGATAGAGGAAGTGTGTGAAGAATTAGCCAAGGAAATTGGAGAAGACAAGGCTGAAGTCGAGGCATTGAAGAGAGAATCTCATTCACTTAGGGAGGAAGTAGATGAAGAAAGAAAGATGTTGCAGATGGCTGAGGTTTGGCGTGAGGAACGGGTTCAGATGAAGCTAGTTGATGCTAAGGTGACACTGGAAGAGAAGTATTCCCAAATGAATAGACTAATTGCAGAGTTAGAGTCTTTCCTAGGTTCTAGAGGTATGAACCCCGACGAGGAAGTGATCAAACGAGCTGAGCAACTCAAACAGGAAGCTGCTTCGGTGAATATTCGTGATATCAGTGAATTTACTTATGAACCTCCAAATCCAGATGATATATTCTCAGTGTTCGAGGACCTTAATTTTGTTGAAAATAATGAAAGGGAGGTTGAGCCATGTCCTGCATACAGTTCTGCTAGCCATCCCTCCAAAATTTGCACATTCAGTCCTGATGACGGTGCATACAATAAAGACAACTTCCTCAGACATTCTCTTGCGTATAATCAGAGCGATTTAGAGGAAGAAGGAAGTGAATGGGAAACAGTGAGCCATCTCGACGAGCAAGGTTCTAGTTATTCTGCTGAAGGAAGCGTCTGTTCTGTCAACAAGAACTGCAGGCACAGCAATGCCTCAATGGAGATAAGTGATGTATATTCAGGGCAAGGTCGACAACTTAAGAAGGTGTCGTCTATATCTAGGCTTTGGAAATCAAACGGAGACAACTACAAAAAGATATCAGTTGAAGGAATAAACGGGAGACTATCAAATGGAAGGCTATCGAATGATGCCACTTTATCTCCAGATTGTGGTTCTAGTAAAGGTGAATTCAGCCCTTCAGGGAGCTCACTTGACTCGGGCAATCCACAAATAACACGAGGGATGAAAGGGTGCATTGATTGGCCGCGTAACTCTCACAAGCACAGTTTAAAAGCAAAACTTCTGGAAGCAAGAATGGAGAGCCAAAAGGTCCAGTTACGCCACGTCTTGAAACAGAAGATCTAGAAGACTACTGCTACAAGTTTTGATTTTGCGCGAGTCATCGTTCTCACTCAGGTGAGATATCAATAAAAACTGAAACAGTAGTAGTCCACATTTTATGCTTACTGAAACTTCTTTGTGTATCAATCAGAACTGCTATATAGTAATTTCATGTAATTTAGAAGGTGCATTATTGGCCACTATTTATATCTTTTTTAAGGTATGATTTAGTGGCCAATTATTACATCATTTAACAGAAGTTTCAGTACGAGGAGAAAACAACTTTGTATAATTGAATTCCTTTATTCCTTTGTTTCTGCCTGAAATAATTGTCTTTCTGCATTTGCCTACAAAGACCTGATGCTTACGTCAAATCAATGAATATATGACACATGTCTTCACGCTTCACATGTACTTTCATCAATAAGTCATAGTCAATCAATAAACATTCTCGTCTTTGATTTATGACCTAACCATGATAAATTAGTATAGATTAAAGTAAATATCGGATACATGTAAGTTTTTACCAATTCACCATGCCAAAATATTAGCACAACTGAAATTTGACCTCCTAATATTCATTTAAGCTGTTTGCTTTTATGTATTGAAACTTGAAAGGGTAAACTGCAAGAATAACTGTTTTTAGAGGTATCAAATGTAGTGCCAAGGGGAAATGGTGGGGTAGTTTTGCACTTTTCTAAAAACACAATGACTCAAATTGACCCATAATGCTGAATTTTGTCTCTATTCTAACAATTCGATGTGATTTTACTTATCAAGATCTTGAGTATAATTTAATGTTTCCTTGATTTTTTCTCTTTTAGACTTACTGTGATTTGATGATTGTTAACAGCTTATTTTTTGAACGTAGGATAATTTGATCCCCTTGTGATATATTTAGTCTCCAAAAATGTGAGACAATTGTTTTGATATTTCAAGTTGATCTTGAAGATCTTCTCTTGATCACTTTAGCTTTGAAAAAATGATATTTAATGTCATTATAACTTTATGAATAATTAAAAGTTTATAAGATATTCGAGATAGCAATTCGAGTGGAATTGGATTTTGTCAATAAAAATAATATAGAAAACTAAACTAGTGAAAAATTCATAGACAAAAAGAGCCCCCCCGCATATAGAATAAAACATTTAGTAGTGGATGAGATATTAAAAATGCAAGGTACCAAAATAAATAAATAATAGAGGATAGAATCCTATGCATTAGACCAATATCTTTTTTGGACAGTAATTATTCCCTTTTTTTTTGGATCTTTATATTTCACAAAATACATTATTAGTAATTTTATATTTATGGAGAATCACTAGAGATTAGGAACATATTTGGTTGAACTATCAAATTCAGCTAATTTTTAAAAGTTGTTACTATTCTCTTCGTCTCAAATTATCTATCGTGATTTTCTTTTACACGTCTCTTTAAAAACATTAACAAAATGATTTTTTAAATAGTTTATCCTTCATTGATATTTTAATAATCATTCCCATATAATAGAGATGTTTGTAGCATCGAAGAACAATAACTACAAGGGTGAAATATGAAAAAATAATTAAATTTGTTTTGAACTTTTAAAATGATAAATTATTTGAGTTTACATTTAGAAAATACGACAAATAATTTGAAACGAAGGTAATAGTTAGTTTGATGATATATGTTTTGATACGAAGAATGTCCTTGTACTATTCTGATTCTCCTCTTTGATAGTTTCAAACTAAAAACAATTTTTTGGGTGAAATATTCTTGGAAGAATTTACCTTTTTTCAGCTTTCAAAATGATATTTTTACATAAAAAGAAAATTCAATAAAAATGATAACATGCATATGTAATGTATTGATATAGTATAAATAGGAGTATATAATAGTTCAGTTTTTCAATGATTTTATTTTTCAATTTCGGCCAACTCAAATATGCTCTAAACGATCCCAAATTTTAGATATGAGCCTCTCTCGAAGTTATGAGTCTTTTGATGTATTATTCACTCGAACCAATTTACATTTAGGTACGCCAAAATTTTAAAATCGAGTTTTAATTGTTGAACATGGAATCCTAAATTTTCTTTCACGTTTCTAACGCCTAAAAATGTCTCTCAATGTTTTATTTGTTCAAAACGATTCATATTCAGTTTTAGAATTAAATTTTGAAAAAACTTGGTGAACATAAAGTGTTAAGCCTCCTTTCACGTTTTCAAGGCCTAAACACGACTACCTAACTTCATATAATTAGTAATATCTGTAGTTTCAAATATTAGATATTTTCATTAGGCAGTATAACTAAACTAAAACTAATTGGTGAAATAGTTTAAATTCAACACCCCTCACTTTTTTGTCGTTTTTCTTCGTTTTCATCTAAGAATCTTAAAAATCATTTTCAAATTTTGAGTTCGGCTCTGCTTTGAATTCGAGTGTAACAACATCGGCCGAATGACCATTTTAGATAATAAATGATAATTGAATTACTTTCATAAATCTTTTTGATTCAATGAACATTTTATCTAATTTTCCTTTTAAATTATTTGAAAATATCTTCTTCTGTTACCTAAAAATTACATTTAGTTTCTAAAAAAGCATTAAAAGTTTGACCAACAAAATACTGTATAATATAGCAACAATAGTATTTCTTCTCCTATCTTACGCTTTCTCAAGATTCGTAACTTGTCTTTCCATTTTCAATTGTTGTGAAGTTAAAGCAATTCCCTGTTTTCCGGTAAGTTCATATATAGATCTGCAACTATTTTTGAATTTTTTCTAATTTGTTGTCTGATAGATATCTCGTGTAATCTAGCTGGGTTTTTTTTTGCGAATTTTTTGGGTTCAATTTCTTGTAGCAACTGTTCATTCAGATACAGGTTTAGTTTTTATGATTAATTGACGTTTTTCCTTATTTGGGTGTTCATGGAATTGGTGTTGTTGTAAAGAAAAAAACTGGAAATTTGAGTTGTTTGCATTTTGTAGGTTGAAGATGGAAGGTTCTATAGTAAGAAGAGTGATTCCATCTGATAACAGTTGTCTTTTTAATGCTGTTGGGTAAATTCTATTCCCATTTTACTTTGTTCTTGTTCTCTTATTTGCTGTTGGAATTGGAGATGGTGTGGTTCGAAATTTTGAATAAATATATTGTGGTTTCTTGTTTTATGCAGTTATGTGATGGACCGTGACAGAAACAAAGCCCCTGAGCTAAGACAGGTTCTAGTTTTGCCTTTGAAATTACTCTGTTAAAGCACTTGTTCGTGTTATGCCAGTCAAGAATGTTATATATGGATAGATTAGCTGTGTTGCTGTTATATCTTATTGATTTAACAAGTGCAGTGAAGAGTCGTAGTTGTAGTCCTGTAGCTAGTGATGGAAGGATCCTTCTTTTTATTTATTTTATTAGATATATCATAGACTTTTCTTGAGAAAGACTGCTAGAGGTGTAGTCGAGAAATAGAAAATGTGTGTGTGTGTGAGCTTCTTGGTGTAGAAGATTGTATAAAAATCAATTATGCAGGTGGATTGTACTTTTGTTAGTGTAAATGTGTGTTTTTGATTTTGCAAGAAAAAGATGGGAAAAAACCAGGGTGCAAGTGAGTGGAGTGAATGTATGTGTAGTGTTTGTGGATGAGTTAGATTAAGTAAAAGCTTGTTATGATATGTGCTGGTTCAGAACATTGAGGAATGAAGCCAGTGTGTTTTTCATTGCCTTCATAAATATGTTCTCTTTCGTGTGGTTATAGAACAGTATGATAGTTTGTTCAGTTTAAAGGAGTCAGGTTTAGTTGATAGGACTTTCCAGGAAATGAGATGAGGTGAAAGCAAACTTCTGTGCTTAGACATCAATACGCAAAACTATTTTGTGTCTTGTGAACTTTTACGAATAGTCTATGCATCCTGAGGTTGGTGCATCTTATTGAGCGTAGGCCGTGGAGAAGCATTGGGAACCGCCGCCCCGTCTCTAGGAAACCTCTGGAAGTCAGGGAGTGTGACAACGTACATGCTTCCCTTTACCCCTTCCCGGAGGATGTCTAGAGCAGCTTATCTTAAAAAGCAGAAATGAAAGGGAATAAAGACTATTTACAGTCAAGATTTAGGAATTAAAGAAAGATTATTGATAAATGATTGCTGCCCATAACCTTATTTCTAGTTGTGGGACTTACATAGTTACATAGAACACTTTCTCTTGACCTTTTGTGAAGCCTCTATGTCATGGTTTATTAAGGAGTTCTGTACTCTTCATTCAATCATCTATGCCTCAATCTGAGACTAGTAAGGGTCAGCTATATAATACTCATCAACTATGCGCTAGTTAAGCCCAGTTGATTCTATTAGTCAATTATATGTCTTTTAAGCCAAATTAAGGGATCTCTAGAATTTGAAGTTTCTTGTATTCACATTTATCCGTAATAGCATAGAACAACTTCCCGTTTAAGACTAACTGAGTTCGATGCATTGATGTGTCAAAAAAAGTATGTGTAATGCGTTCAGTACACTTAGGATTGAAGATGTAGTTGCTGCTGATCTCACCCATCCCTGAGATGGTTTCTCTTTTAGTTAATACGGAAAAATGATTTTTTTTCTTATGGATTTTGTTACTTATCAATCTCTAGAGGTGGCGAAACTCATCAAGCGTCTGACCCAGAGATAATTTTTAACTTCAATCTCATGCCCAGGGAACCAAATTACATAAGGAAAAAGGTTTCATTTAGTGAAAAGACACTGGATACTTTCTCAGACATCAATGGTTGGATAGGGAATCTAGGCTTATAACAATTTTGTAACAATTTGTTCGCCATAGGAGAAATTCAATTCAGGAAGCTACTTTATAGAAAAGCTAACAGTTTCTTGTTATTTAGTTATAATATGTGAAATATGACTCAAGTTGATAGTTTGATATGGTGTAGTGCTGGGAATATTTCGTAAAGCTCACTACTCCTCATCCATGACACTTTATACATTTCAATATTTGAAGGTTATAGCTGGAACAGTTGCCAGTGATCCAGAAAAATATTCTGATGCCTTTCTTGGGAAGTCCAACAAGGAGTATTGTGATTGGATTCTTAACCCAGAGAAATGGGGAGGTATGTCTTATTGTCTGTTTTAAAGTTATCTTATCCTAGGATGATTTTAACTACTCAGAAACAACCTCTCTATCTCTATGAGGTAGGGGTAAGGTCTGGGATTACACTGGGTATGTTGTTGTTGTTGCATGATTTCAACTACTGGAGTCCTGCTAGGATAACAGTGACTTCACTAGTCGTGCTGTTGGTATATCTCAGATAGTTTGGCTGTATAACTAGGTGGTCAAAGGTTACAATTACTTTCATGACTTCTTTGGTTAAGCCATGGGTAAAAGTTAAAACTCGATAATTACTGCTTATAATTGCTTAAAAGGAACTAATGAGTGAGACTCACATGACATTCTAGTGAAACCTATGACACTAATGAATTGCAGTTTTTTTGTTGTATGAACAAATATTACTGTTCTGTTTGGGCGTGCGTCTCAAAGCTACAACTCTGTATACATGCATTGAGCTTGCCTTTTTGATGTTTTAAGTTGGCTATTAATGTGGAAAATTCGTAATATTTTAAATAAATAAAAATGATCCTTGTTGTTGTGGAATTGCTTTGATTTCTTCTTGTAGTCTCTTGCTCAATTGAAATCTTTTGTCTTATTCCTTCATGGGAGGGAATCGGGTTCATCTTTTGCTTTCTACAGTATCTTCATTGGAGGAGAAAATCTAGTTACGCTCTAGCGTCAAAAAAAGAAAATCTAGTTACGCTCTTCTCTGTTTTATCTTCATTTGAAGGGGAGGTTAGTTTAAAATAAAAGGATTATTGTGCTGAGTTAGATGCTGAATATCAAAGGGTTAGGTGGGTAGAGTCATCTGATAGGCTTCAGGAGAAGAAAGTGGGCTTGAAGTCGGAAAGTAACTGCACTTGCAGTGATGTAGACATTTTGGAGAAAGAAGTTAAAAGCTTTTATCTTCCCAACCTGCAATCTCATGATGCTTCTTGGGATTTCTGGAGCACCTGTGGGATCCCTATACCAGTGGAGGCTTGGAATCCAGTTTGGAATCCCCTTCATGATGCAATAGAAGTTTATTTACTTATCAATCTCCCAAGTAGCGTGGGATTGAGGTGTAATTGTTGTCGTTTATCGTATCAGAAAAAGAAAAAGGTGCATCATTGATAAATATTTTGTGCTATATGCTGCTTTTATATTTTACTTTTTCCTTTTGTAAGCCAAGTCTATTTCACAGCATTATGATTAGCTGGAAGAACTCTAGTTTCTGTTGCTTAGGAACATCCCTTTCTTATCTAATCATTGCAGTTCTTGTTATTTGTTTTTTGTTTCTTACCTTTGAAACACTTGCTCTCTTAAGGGGCCATAGAGCTTTCAATATTGGCTGACCACTACGGACGAGAAATTGCAGCCTATGATATCCAAACAACGCGCTGTGATCTGTATGGACAGGTTAGCATTTAGCTAGTAGGATGTGTAATCAGCTATTTCTACACGAGTCATTTGACAATTCCTGATTATTCTGAACCACCTTTATATGGCTTAATGTTAAACAGGGAAAGAACTATCAGGAAAGAGTAATGCTGATTTATGATGGACTTCATTATGATGCTTTGGCTGTATGGTCACTCTCTCTCTCTCTCTCTGCACTTGCACCTTCTTGATCATTCTGTTTCTGTCAGGAGGAACAAGAAGGAGAGATTCAATTTTGTGAAGATTTTTAGATCTTGCGAATATTTGGACTGTAGGCACAGTTAAGGACCTAGACTTTTTGGAATCTTGTCAAATCAATTAATGACTTTAGAATATGAGATAGGATTAGTGATCTATATCTGATACCGATGCTCATTAAAAAGGGACAGATGACTGCTTCACTTAGCTAATCTGTTGGGCCACTTTTGATTTATGCCTATCTTTATTTTGATTTTTGTTGGGTTATTTGCAAAATAGTAAGTGTATGTAATGGGTAGGTTCTCTTTATATCATTGATCTTGGGGGTACGTGCCCTTCTCTAGTGCTATTCATAACGAATAGTTGCATTTACCCATCATCAGAAATATGAAATTATTAGGTGCTGCATTGCTGGTTAGTAGTGTGAAATCATTTAGCTAATATTTGTATGAAGAATTTCCCATCTTCTGACAAAGCTGCTTGAAGTTAGATTTCCTTTTTTATGTCTGTATTATCCTACTTACACCTAGTTCCACGTGTACAATCGCCAGATGTCCCCTGCTGACGGAGCTCCGGAGGAGTTTGATCAGACAATTTTTTCTGTACAGAGAGATGGAACTGTAGGACCAGCTGAGAGGCTTGCTCTTAATCTGGTTAAGGACCAACAAAGGTAAGCATCGTCCTTTTAAGCAGAAAATGACTAAGTTTGGTGTTGGGGGAGAATTTTATAACGGCCAGATGAACAAGTTTCCATATCCTTGTTCTTATGCTGCTTCGGATATATGGTTGGGTCAAAATGGTAAATAATCTGAAGTTTGAGAATTAAAGGAAGTTAGGGTAAGAGCTCTAGATTATGTGCATTTTGAGGTTAGCATGACAAGATTGTGGTTCTAAGGGATTTATTTTACTTTATGCCTTCCTTTTTCTGTGTGTTCAAACTCAGAATTGCCTTACATTTTTACAATAGAGCGTATTTTGCTGTGAGGAAATGAGCAGAAACTACTTATATCTACTAATTACTTTGCTGTTATCTATTATTGCTTCATTGCAGGAAGAGGAGCTATACTGACACAGCCAACTTCACGTTGCGATGTGGAGTTTGCCAAATTGGGGTCATCGGCCAAAAGGTTCATATCTTGCTTCTTGTAATTATTCTGCCTACTTTCTAAGCTTGCGACTTCGTTTGCTAAAAGCTGCATTCCTATGCAGGAAGCTGTAGAGCATGCACAAGCAACTGGACATGTGAACTTCCAGGAATACAAATGAAAGAAACAAGAAACAAAGCAAAACATAATCGATAATTTCTTTGAACCAGTGAAAACCAATTTCATACGACTGTCTGCATATGACTAGAAAGTAGATTTCATTTCTAATCGAAAGGTGTGTGATTTCTGTTAATTTGCTGATGCATTGTTGTGCTATAGAAAATTGTTCCCCATTTTAGACAGAACAAAGAGTAATAGAGATACTAGAGTGTGTATTAGTGGAAGAAATACAACTTTGACATGTATTCTTGTTGATATATTTGTGACAAGTACTATATGCTATTTTTAATGTGTCATTTAACTTTGAGCTTTGTATTACTGTAGCTGCGATCAGTAATAATAATGCAAGTAATTTGAACGTACACTCGATGAATTCTTATTATGAGGACTGAAAGAGCCCTTTTTTACAGAATTTATTGGTGCTGCACTCTGCAACAATGGAGATTGAATCTAAAGCAGAGTATCAAGAGACTCTGAATTAAAGACTTAAATCTCCTTTATTTAACTTTATTTAAACTTAAAACCATAGCTGCCATGGAAGTTGAAGACTTGAATCTGTTCAACATACTGCTATGCAATCAATTTCAATTTTTGCATTCAGTGGTAATCCTGCTGCTTGAAAAGTTGAACGTGCTGGTGCAGGATCTGGAAAATCTGCAACATTGATATATATATATCCATGTTATTACATATTTTGACTCAAAACTTCAATATGTAATAATAGTAATATGCGTTATTTGAGCCGAGGGTCTTTCGGAAACAATCTCTCTACCTTCAGTAGGTAAGGGTAAGATTTGTGTGCACTTTATACTTTTCATGCCCTATTTATGAGATTACACTGAGTATGTTGTTGTTGTTTACAATAGTGAATATGCGTTATTTGAGTCGAGGATCTTTTGGAAACAGATGAGGTAGAGGTAAGGTCGCGAACATTCTACCCACTCCATGCCCTATTTGTGGAAATTAAATTGGATATGTTGTTATTGTTTACTACAAATAACATTTTGCTTAAGACTAAGATCAATCATCTCAATTTCTTGACAGACAAGTCCCTAAATTCCTAAACTAAATAAGATACGATCATGCCGTATTATGACTCTTTTTTTTAAGGTACAATTGCAAACTTAATAGAAATAGTTATTCAATTTTCGATACCTATATTGAGATCCTGACTTTAATATGAAGAGTTACCTGTCTTAGGTATACATAATTTCAAAGTTGACCTAATCTAACTTGAAAGGTAGATTTTACATAATTTCGAAGTTGCCTTAATTATTAGTACTAATAATACTATGAAAGGTAGTTGTACTCACATTTAGCATAAATTGCATTGACTTTCTGGAAGTCCCCTAGATCAGCCAACCTGTAGGTTAATAATATTATTATTCAACATCAATAATCAAAATTAACTATATTATAAGGAAACACAAAAAAAATAAATTATGTATCATACATGATTGTTGTCTTAACAGCTGCAGAATAGCTAACACCACCAGCTTTAAGTATCTCCCCAATATTTTTCAGAGCCTGAAAAATCATTATTAAACTCAGATATTTTGTGTTCAGTCGAACAGTGTCATATAAATTGAAACAGAAGAAATAAAATTAATTATTCAAAAAACCTGTTCTGTTTGATCCTCCACATTGTCTGATATGAGTACTCCAGTCTACATTCAATCACAAAAAAATAATTATAAAAATATTAACCAATGTAACAAATTAAAATGATCTAATTAAAGATTTAAAAATGATTAATTATCACTAACCTCAGGAATAAGACCTAGAGAACCAGATACATAAATGAAATTATTAGCCTTAATTCCTTGAGAATATGGTCCCACTGCAGGTGGTGCCTTATCTGTACTAATTTCCTCCTTTTTACCTTAAAAAAATAAATCATAACTAAAACTTTAGACAAATAATCAAATATAATTACTCTTCCATTTCAAAATAAATGATTTTCTTTTTAATTTCAAAAATAAATGACGTCTCACAAAATCAGAAGATGATTAAATTTTCTTTTTAAAATAAATAAAGTTTTATATACACAAGAAACCACTAAAAAGCTAAAAAAAAATCAAAATATTTGATTAAGGATAAAGTTATTAAAAACAACCTTATTTTCTATGAATGAATAGCTTTCTTGAAAGTATCTCCAATTAAAAACAAGTGCATCACTTATTTTGAAACAAAAGGACCTCGTTGACTTTCACTTGTTATGTTTCGTGTTTCCCGAGTGTCAAACTGCATGAACTTTGATCAACATTTTAGTATGTATTTTTTTATCATATTAAATATTTGAAGAATTACAACTTATAACACTTTCCATATGGTCTTCGAAAATATTTAAATTAATCTAATTCAATTTATGTTTGTAGATTAATTAAATCAACAACTCTCATGAAACAAAACGTAACAAGTAAAAGTGGACAGATCAGTCGTCAGGTAATAAATGATAAAACAAAGGAATGAGATGTCACCGTACTGGCTAAGCAAACGAAAGGAACACGCGAATTAGCAACTGACACGCGTCCAATTCCGATGGACATCGGAGTACGGCTGTGCCCGGCGTTTGCAGCCATTGCCGGCATACAGAAGCTTCCCGATGCGACGGAGAACGCCATTTTAAATAATTTCAAATATACTAATAAATCACTTACTAAGTAGTGTACTATTTATTAATTTCATGCAGTTATAAGATCGATCCATATGTTTTTATAGTGATTTTTGTATCATAATTCCACGTTTTTTTAAATGTTTAATTTCTTTCGAATGATCCCTTTCATGCAATGCAAGTGGCGTGTCGTATCAAAATTGTTATTTCCTCTGTTCTAATTTATGTGACATTTTTCGTTTTTCGGAAGTCAAACAGTTTAATTCTGATCGAAAATTTGCACGGAATCTTCAATTTTCTTGAAATGAAATTTATATATTTGTAAACTACATAAAAAAGTACTATAAGTTACAATAATTGACAATGCAAAATAATTAAAAGATATATGAAAAATCTACCGTCAAAGTTATACTTGTTTGAGTCTCAAAATTCGAAAAGTGCCACATAAATTGAGACGGAGGGAGTAACTTTTTTTCGTCATGAAGAAACCAAGAAGATTCAAAATATATAACAGTACGCTCCAAAGTGAGCGAGATATAAAAAAAATAAATCGAAGACTGTTATCAAAAGAGAAATCGCTCAAAGTTGAGTGATTTGTTCGTTTTGGTTAATTAGCATAACAAGTCATCCTTCGTGCATTTTTAGATGGAAAAAGTGATTTTTTGGCTCTGAACTCTTATAGAGGATTCAGATGAACCAAATATAATATTTTAGCTCCGCTTATGAACTTAATAACTTTTATCTAGATTTAATATATTCTTTCACCCATAGTGTATCTCTCAAAATTGACAAAAATCTCGAGTAAATTTCTATTACTTTTTTTCCCATTCTTTCTTCTTTTAACGATTTTTTGGTTTTATGGATTCTAGGGTAAAAATGATAATGGTGTTATTAAAACATGTGTTATTTTCCTCTTGATATTTTATCATGGAAGGTCTGTTATCTTATTTTTAATATATAATTTTGTATTTTTGTATATAAGAATGGAATCTTTATTGGTCCCGAAATGGTTATCGATAAAATTTTAAAATTTATTTTTGAGTTGGTGGTTGATGTTAAATGTTAAAGTGGTCCTTTAGGTCTAAGTTGTTTGTTTATTCTCAAATATCGTTTGTGAGAAGTATTGTAAACACTTAAACTGTTAATTTCGTTCTTAAACTATTGATAGTTTTAAAAATACCTCTCTATCTGACTAACTAAACTTAAATACACGCTCGATCTGCCACATGATGTAGCAAGTGGTCTCAAACACTTGTAAGAGCATGAAACTCTTAATAAAAAGCAGTGAGAAGTGTTGAAAATACCCTTAACTTTGCAAAAATAGAATTTAGGGATGTGTTTCACTCATGTTGCAAGATCACGAGTGTATTTAAGTTCAGTTAGTCAAATAAATTGATGTTTTAAAGTCTGTCAATAGTTTGGAGATAAACTAATAATTCACGCCAAATATAGAGGTGTTTTCAATACTTCTCTTATATCATTTTGAAGGATGATCGAAGAAGTGAATATTGTTCCCATTATTATAGAGATAATTGAGAAATTTTATCGAAGTTGGTGTAGTACAATATAAATTTTCAGCACACCTAGTGTAATATAAGTACTTGTTTAATTCAGATCTTTTATTATTTTAAGCAAAAAGTTTAAAATAATTTCAGATACTCTTATCGAAAACATTAGAGGACATGTGAATTTTTTTATGAATTGACGTATGTGAATTGTGAACCCATATTCTACATCGTAGGTTGTCTTTTAAGTCAATTGTTATCTTCGTTTAATTGTTTAATATCTAATTATATTATTTACATTGTAGACATAATATCTTTAAGGACAGTGTATTCGTACATCTCAAACTTTACTCATATGATTTTCGATTTTTTTCTTTTTTTGGTCATAAGTTTATACCATTTTCTTGATTGATTTTTTAAGAGTTACTAATTTCAAGAAAAGTCTTGTTTCACTATCTTTTTAATTGAATAATTTGTATTTGAAAATTATTGATCTGACTAATCCAAATTCATATCGATGATTTCGTTATTTCATGGCAATTACTTGTGGATTGTTAGGTTCTTTTCTTATAAGTATATATCTTTTTATTTCAATTTGTTTGTTTTATTTTATTTTTTAGTTGGTTTTTAAAGAATGCACGTCTCTTTTTTTGAAAATTATTTAAGTACAATTTTTTACATTACATGATGATTAAGGCCACGAGATAAAATGGTATTTTCAGACATTTAACATATTTTTAGTTTAAAATTATAATATTTAAAAATCTTAATTATTTTCTTAAACTTTATATTAAGTCAAAATCATACAAATAAATTGTGATATATATAACTAATGTCTAAACATGTGCGCTACCTATGCATCGCATGCTAATTAGTTCAAATATTTTAAAACAATATTAGATAATATTAAAATAAGTGTGTAATGAGTTATACGAAATTTAAAGCGAGAAAATAAACAGCGTCATTTGTAGTTATTAGCTAACATGTTTATCAACAAATTTCTTTAATTTGGAACAATTCACTTATTTTGAATTAAGAAAAATGCTTCAATAATTCACCCTCGTTCTTTTTCAGTTGTCATGTATACTGAAAATACTTATTCCAAAATAATTGTCAATTTAAACAATTAAGAATTAATTATTATAATTTTCAATTATGCCCTT